AGCTCACTAGGTTTTGGAACAAAGTCTTGGAAAACAAATATCTTGGTCATTACTATAATTGCAGGGGGGAAAAAACATTTCAGTGGTTCTGTGGTCACACGGATAAATTCAGGATATAAAAATTCAGGTCTCAAAATTCAAGGAAAACAAGCAGAATATGGTTATGAATTGTTGAGTTCCAAAACTACAGGAACCGAATGATTTTCTAGATGTCCACTTCTGCTAATGTTTCTTGACCATTTGCATTGTTCTACTGATGCAGGGGAAGCAGAGACCCGTCTTTATATTTAGCCACTGCTGTAGTCAACCGCATGCAGACCGACCAATGTTCTTCTAGCATTAAAACCAATTGTGTTTATTAAAAACACTGCACTGAGGCTCATGACCACACAAATCTATGTAGCTCTACAAAGCATGTGCCACTAGTGTGAAACCGCTGCTCACAGCTCTGTTTTAAAACGATGTTTGCCTAAACTCTGAAATGATCTGACATAGCTGGCAAAGCAATGCATGCTGTTAATCACTCACAGAAGCAGAGTGAAGATGAACAGAAGAGACAGCAAACTCCTTCACACAGCAGCCATAAACAGGCATCTAAACATTAGGCTTGTTAAGCCGCAACACCGGTTATGTCACTTGCCCACCGCGGCACTGACCCCCACCGTCGTTTTGATTTTTTATAGTAATAAAAATCATTTAGTTCAGTAAAAGAACAGACACTACAATTAAAAACTGAACGCGGCTGCTCAATGCAGCGTGCCGAACGACAGTTGCATCACAGATCAGATTTCATTTCTCCAGTGAGGAGAGCTGACTGACGAGAAGAGCGAGGCGAGGTGAGACAGACAAGACGATGGCGGATGATTTAGTTTCGAAACGAGATGCAAAAGCGCCTGTTTGGCAATATTTTGGATTTTGAAAAGCTTGTTGACTTCTGCCATTTATTTAAGCTGATTTTGGAAGTTTTTTTAAACATTTGTTTCTTATATAATTGGTTCCACATAGAAAGCAGTATCTGCAGATACCGATCATCGATACCTATCTTTTAAAGCCTTGTTTTTAGCATTTATAACTATTTATTGTGATACTCCAATCAGGATTTTTAGACATTTATTCAGGGCCATTTTTGAAAATGAGAGGAATTCCCCTCTTAGGTGACAGTAATACAATCAGTACAGTAATACAATCTTTCAAAGACATGTTTAAACAATAAATATAAGCAACACATTTTTCAATGCTTTTTACTTTTGCATTTACTTCTAGATTTATATATTAAGTTGCTCAAGCAAGTGGCAAAACATTTAAACTACTTTTCTTACGTTATCGCAAACTTACCATTGACAGAAATAGTCAGCTCTACTGCCTTTTCTTTTGCATTTAAATCTTTATTACAAGCAATCCTGCAGTTCATAAAGAACTTTGTTTTCCTACGCACGAGTGCCATCTATTATTGCCTACTATTGTTTATCTAAAAGTGCTCTTTCGCACCGCTCCTGAATGCACTGCCGGACCGCAACTGTGTGCAGTGTGAACAATTTAATTCATTAACATGAGCACGGAAAAAATACGCACCACGTTTGCATTACAAACGGAGTAATGTGAACCTGGCATTATGTGTGTGCGCTGCAAGTGTGCATGAGCGCACGTTCTACAGAAGAGCGCGCGAGCGCTGAATGGTTAAACACTGGCAAGAATTAAAAAGTAATGCAATTTATAAACTTTAGTGATGATGTGACACTGCCTCGATTGTGCAAGTGACAATTCCTGTGTCAACTGTGCAGCGTGCAGCTCGCTTATAGACAGACGCGATGTGTGGTGATTTGAAGCCAGATTTGCATTATAATTATTTTACCCGCGCCGTACAGAGACTGAGACGGTGCCGCTGCATGTCATGCCAAACCTCTCACGGCAGCGTCATCAGCTTGAGATCGGCCTTTTTAGAGACCGCGATCAATCATCCCAACGTGATTATCGGCCAATAGTGATCGGTAGCCGATCAATCGGAGCACCCCTACTCTTTACTACTAGTTATAGCACAAAATTAACATGACTGAACATCAGAAAAAACCAAACAACTTACTAAAATGATCATGTCTCATGTATTCGATCAGTCAGTGTATCAAACGCCAGAAGACATCAGTAATCAATAATGTGTGATCAATTATGTCACACAACATCTCTTTTACCTCAGGAAAGACATTCAATGTCCATAAACTCGTTAGAAACTCAGCTAGAAAAATAACTCCAGAGCATTTTTGATAAATACATGCAATATATTACATATTCGTTAGTGATGTCTCATTTAATGCATGTTTGAAAAAATCCATGAAAACAAGTGACCACAGCCACTGTTTAAATATGTATATTTCAACAATGAATTGGAGTAAAAACATAACTATATATCATTAAAATCAGATTTTTTTAAATGCAATTTAAATGCTTATATTCAAGTCAGTTTTAATTTAAGTTCTGGTTATTAAATAAACTTCATTTTCAGTGTCGGTTTTCAGTTTTTTTTTTTTTTTTTTCATTTTGGCGCATGACTAACATCCAATATATTTTAGTAAGATATAGTAACTAGCTAAAGCACAATGTTTGTTAAAAATGGCCTGCAAGAGCAGGACTGGACACCCCTGGTGTACAGACTGATTTTACCATATTAAACAGGCCCTGTGTATTTACAGTACGAGCACTTTATCCGTATAACACTGCATCCATCACATTCCACTGATGCACCTGCATGGGCGGCTCATATTCAGTCACGTGACACAGTGAAGTGAACCTGGCCTGGCCCTGCCTGCTTCCAGTATCCCATCATTCACCGCGAGTTGCGGGGATAGACTGGGTGCAGGGTAAAGATATCCTTTTCATGCAGGTGATTGTCCGATAACAGAGCAGTCCACAGTGACTATGTTATCACAGCCTAAACAAGCAACACCTCCTGGAGAAAATATGATGTCTACAAACACGTTACAGTGGAGATGACAGAACATTTCACAGTCACTGCCTTCTCGGAAAATGTGTTCATCTTTGGAACAGAAATGTATTTCAGTTATTCTCTCATCAATTTTCGGTAAACAGAAGATCAAACATGCATGCTTGATGTTCCAGAACCAGTGAGCTCTACTCTTGTGCATCAAGCGAGCACATCTGAGCTTCCATTTACCATATTTAATGATATATTTAATTGATGAGTTGTCAATATGAGATTCATATTTTCATATTAATATATTTTCTATGTTTTCAGTAATCAAGACCGTACAATCTGTGCCACCAGCTTTACCAAATGGAACTGCAAAACAATGATCGTTAAAGTTACCTAAACATTAGCCTGTCTGTCATTGTTCAAACTGAATAAAATGGAAAAACAGACATAACAAAGCTCTTGTTTCTAGATGACTAATCAAATGTACTATAAGTGAGTGTGAGTCACTGATCATGAGACTCTTTGTACTCTTGCTTCCACTGAATCTCTGGATGATCTTTAGAACATAAACAAACCCAAATACTGGGACTTTGTTCAATTCAAAATAATTTTTCAAACTGCTATGCTGATTATATAATTTGTAAAAAAAAAAAATAAATAAATAGTGTATACATTTGGAGAAATGTAGCATTCCATCACTTGCTCCCCAATGGATCCTCTGCAGTGAATGGGTGCCGTCAATCATCAAGACGTTTTAAATACTTCACTGAAGGAAGTGTTATTATGGATTATGGACTCTTATTTCAGCCGGAAACAACTGTTTAATGTTAAAAACATCTTAATGGTGGATTTATTTATTTTGTCTTCTCCAGATGGTAACTGATGGACTGGAGTGCTGTGGATTACTTGTGGATTATTGTGATGTGTTTATCAGCTGTTTGGACTCTCATTCTGACGGCACCCATTCACTGCAGAGCATCCATTGCTGAGACACTGATGCAATGCCACATTTCTACAAACCTGATGAAGAAACAAACTCATCCTAATCTTGGATGGCTTGAGGGTGAGTATATTTTCACAAATTTTCATTTTTTGGGTTAACTATTCATTTAATTGGATTTATTATAAATTACATTTATTTATTTCTGTTTGAATCGCCAATATTGTTAAATCATCTCTTTGTAAAGAATGGTGCAGTTCTTGTACCGAAGTGGCCAAAGGGTCCTACCCATAAAAATGCTCAAAATGTTTTGCTCAATAAGAACAAAGAACATAAACCATGCATTATTTTGCCATTCAGAAAGAAGTTTCCCTCTTGACAAGTGTTCATTTTGGACCGGAATTCAAAGTTTTGACAGAAGTTAAATTCTTCACATGACACACATTTGTGTTCAGCTTTGGGAGGGTGATTTGGCACACGAGGAGAACTACAGAACCATAAACGTCTGTTTTATTTTATTTAGTTCTTTTCCAAATTCAATAAACTAATACACTAATTAACTAATCAATTTAAAGAACATAAATCAGAGCACTGATGAAGTGAATATGTCGATGTCTGATCTGGAGGATGATGTGTTTGACCTCATGCAGGTAGTTAGCACCCCATAACAGCTCAGAATGAGAAACAGTTGGACTGTAAACGGGCATCTCTGCAGTTCTGCTCTGGCAGCAGATATCGTTCTGTTTTCACCTCCATAAACAGTCTATCATACAGTGAAGTCTGCATTCTTTGGGTTAAACACACTGCTGAGGTTGTTACAGGATGCAACGCAGATATTTTAAACCTTTACTTTGGGTTACAATGATCCCACAATAAAATAATGTAGCCTAATATACTGTAAGTTTAGGGATGCTCAATATATCAGTGAGCATGTCGATTTAGCACATCATTTCAGAGCGATTTTATAGCATGCTTTTTGTTCCATGTTTCAAAAACACCAAGCAGTTTTTCTTTACTATTACATACAGTAATATTTTGATGCCTAATCTCACCTGCTTTTTTTTTTTTTTTAAGAAGCATGAAAAACAGCACAAATACACTACATCATAGAGCATGTATATGGTTCTGTCTTACCGAAGCAGTTGCAGCGATGAGGGACAAACATCTTGCAGGCTGTGGCGATGTGGATCTCAGCACTCAAAAGAGCTTTAATGATCAGTTCCTCGATCTGGCCCATGAGCACTGACAAACACAGAGAAATGTATTTAAATTTATTTATTAAAATACATTTTTTTTAACAGCAATAGTGTTTTTATCATGCAACACAACCATGTGCAAAAGCGCTGAAATATGTGACCCTGGAGCACAAAACCAGTCATGAGGGTCAATTTTTTTAAATTGAGATTTACACATCATCTGAAAGCTAAATAAATAATATTTCCATTGATGTATGGTTTGTTAGGATAGGAAAATATTTGGCCGAGATACAACTATTTGAAAATCTGGAATCTGAGGGTGCAAAAAAATCTAAATATTGAGAAAATCATCTTTAAAGTTGTCCAAATGAAGTTCTTAGCAATGCATATTACTAATCAAACATTAAGTTTTGATATATTTACGGTAGGAAATTTACTAAATATCTTCATGATTTTTGGCATTAAAAAAAATAAATAATTTTGACCCATACAATGTATTGTTGGCTATTGCTAAAAATATCCCCCAGCGACTTAACACTGCTTTTGTGCTGCAGGGTCACATATAGTTGTTCCTCCTATCTTATATTACATTGGCTATGATCAGTAAATGGAAAAGGACAACGGCCAACAGTAGACATATAGTACAATTTCTAAATATCTTCATGATTTTTGGCATTAAAAAAAATAAATAATTTTGACCCATACTATGTTTTTTTGGCTATTGCTAAAAATATCCCCCAGCGACTTAACACTGCTTTTGTGCTGCAGGGTCACATATAGTTGTTCCTCCTATCTTATATTACATTGGCTATGATCAGTAAATGGAAAAGGACAACGGCCAACAGTAGACATATAGTACAATTTCATAGGAAATCAGTTAAATGAAATCAATTTTCTTTACAACAATACATCATTCAAGCATAATGTTTCAAATATTCTCAAAATGAACCCCACTTAGGGGGTCATAATGTAAGACATCAATCTAGCAGCTGCTGTTCGTCAGGAGTAACAAGAGTGTCAATCTACAAATGCTTGAGAATATCCACAGATTAGTGGTTATGCATGTCAAAGTCACGGAGTGTTAAACATGAAAGTATATGATTGCACAAGGCACATCTCAGCTCTACTCACATGTGGTGTCTTTGCCTTCTTGCCTCAAATATCTCAGCATTGCGCTCATGCTCCATTTGTTCCCATAATCCTCTACTTCAGGGTCATCGCAGCTGAAAGCAAGAGAAACCGTGACTGTCAGCGCTGCCAAAACAATGCCGAGAAATGGCCACAACGTAACAATGTTGACATGATTAGCAAACACAAGGATTAGCTCGTATTTGAAAACACATTCCCGTTTAGGAGTGATGAAGAAGAGAAGTGATTATTGAACTATTATTTCTGACAGCTTAGATCTGTTCTCATTACTGTAACATGCATGATGCTTTATGGCATGAGCTGCTACAAGACAAACACAAGCTACTCTAATATCACCAGGCATTCATAAAGAGCTATTACGGATTATTGCTACAGAGCCTTGTGCAGATTCAGACGGAAAGACTCACATTTCCCGTGTTAGTATTGGTGGAAATTGTGTTTTCAATAATGATCTCCTGACTGTAATTTTTCCTGTTCTTATTGACTAGCCAACGTTTGAGGAAGATAGACTTTTTTAATAAAAAAAAAAAATAATAATAAAATGTTAACTGAAAATAAAAGCTCTCTTCAACAATGTTGCTGCATTTACCGCTTCCATTTATACTGTAACAAAGAGATTTTGATGATTTATGATCCATATATTTCAATGTGTCATATTTGTCCACTATTTGGTGGTAATTTTGAAATTTGAGACATTGTATCTTTTACACTTTAAAATGATTTTTTCATTTCAAAACTTCATAATGTCAACATTTAAAGTCTGTCTTGACAAACTTTGCTTTTCTGGTTAAAAAGTTAAATGGATTTCCTTTGAATTTGAATTCTACTTAAATGAAATTCTGCATTCTTTTTGCTACCTCAAATCAAACTCAACAATTGAACTGGAATTTAAAAGGCTGTCATGCCTAAATTGTCAATTTATGTATTTGAATTGCACATACAATTTTCATCCACTTGGATTACACAGTTTAACATAAACAAACAAATAATAATAATAATAATCATTTGTCAGTTACACATAAATGAAACGGGTCAGATTTCTGTAATAGTACTAATAAACTGAAAGCGTTTTAAATACACAATAACCAGGTTTATATATTAATCATCAAAAATCCAATTTCAGTTGTTTCTGATTCAGTCTCACACATTTTAATACTGAATATTGCTTGTTCCACAGCTAGCCATATTATAACAATGTTCATACTATTTAAGTGAATTAATTGAATTGCTTTCACAACAAACAAATCATTCGTGATCCAGCTTCACCAACAGAAGAAGCTGGGCGGGGTCAGCAGAGCTAATTAGCATTTAAAGAGACATGCACCAAAAAGGGTCACTGAGAACACAGCTGATTTTGAGGGTGTTGTTTCACATTACCATTGAGACATTTTAACCAAAGTATGTAATGCAACTCCTACGTCACTGAAAAGTGAGGGTTTTTTTCCAGGTATGTTTTTGACATACCTGTAATAAATGAAATATCTCTAGTTGAGTAGCAGAGTATTCATTTCATTTGTTTGTGTTAAATAAAAGGCGATCAGACGCTGAAATATTGCTTTTGAAATCTCGCTGCGTGTTCGTTGCAGCTGTTGTCAGTGGAGACTCGCCCCATTCGTTCCATTGAAACCACTAAATAAAATGCACACAAACATGTCCCTGCCCTTGATATACAATCACTGATGAACGCATTTGTTTTAAATGAGAAAAAAAAACTATACAACTGCGGATTCGAACCCAGAAGCTATGACATGCTGTTAACAAATATCTACCACCTCAGTATTATTCCACTCGCAAACATTCAGCAGAGCTGCGTACATAATTACTATCCTGAAAAATGTGTACTATATAATTATTTTGATGTATGGATGTAACTATTGCATTAAAAAGGTTTCTATATTAATTCCAAGTCAATAAATTAAACTCAATGTACTTTTGAAATTGATTTGTGATGTCATCTATGCTATTTTTGCTTTGTTTCACCAAGTGCAGTGTAAAATGCACACATCGGATAAAGGGTCACTTTTAAAAGAAATGTAAGCACGTCGTCCAAAAAATCAGATATAGTCACAAAATCGGAATTGGTCATCAAGACCTGCAGTGTAAAGTTTTGAAAACCATTTCAGAGGCATGTTCTTAAATCTGACTCATATATAACATTAAATGCATGCATAGTTTTAAGACAGCCTTAATCATTTTTTTTGGTAACTTCATGACTTAAAGGGATAGTTCACCCAAAAAATTCTGTCATTAATTACTCACCCTCATGTCGTTTCAAACCCGTAAGACCTTCGTTCATCTTTGGAACACAAATTAAGATATTCTTGATGAAATCCGAGAGCTCTCTGACCCTCCATAGACAGCAATGTAATTACTACAGCCCGACTGATATATCGTTTTGCCGATATTATCGGCCGATATGAGCCTGTCGCCGATATATCGGTATCGGCGAATATGCCGCCGATATGACATTTTTTTTTACAGAACATATAATGCAGATAAAATGCTTGAAATGGTGTAATTACTTAGTTTGTCCAGCAGAGCGTGCTCCATTGTTTGCTACTGGCGACCTGGATGAAACGCTTTAAAGCTTAAGTCTATGGAAAGTCTATGGCCTTCAGCTCGAGGAACCCTCTCGAACGCGAATCGAGTGTACGTCTCGATGCCCTCTTTCGAATGAGACCACCCCCGCGTGGATAGCCCCCGAGGTTCGGGAGTTACAGGTGGTTAAATTCACGGTCCGGCGCCGACCGATCAAGCGATCCCGGGGGGCTACCGACGCGCGGAGGGTGGCGTTCGAGAGGGCTCCTCAAGCTGAAGGGATCCCCCGAATTTGGTGGAGATCCGC